GGGCGCGTAAGGAGGCAACAGCTGGCAAAGCTGTTACGGTATCTATTCCTTACCAGTTGATCCCGAAGATGCCGTGGTTTTCTCTCTGCGGCTAGGTTGAGGAGCGTGGCAACGGTGGTGATTTGGATAGCCGAGTTGCGAACAGGTCCACCAGAACATTGCTGGCCTAAGAGCGCTTTGTGAGGGGCGATCGACAGGACAGAAGCCTCTGCGGAAGGCAGCCTTTTTTGCTGACTTAAGGCGGCGGAGGCTGAAAGAGCTGATCGTATGAGACCAGATTGGTGCCGCATAAGTGAGGTGTGGCTTGGCCAGCGCTTTGAATGTGGCCTTGAAAGTCTCATTCGCGCAGCCCTACGATGTGCCCGCAAGAGCTTTGAGTACCTTAGTACAAGTCGTAACAGCTTTTCGCCGTTTTACCCTCGGGTCCCCTTCCACCATGTTTTGGATTTGCATTGGTTGTAAGTAATGAATTATTTGGGTAAGGCTTTCTTGTGAGGCTGCCTTTAAAACGTTTCCCCCCGCTCAAGTTTCCTACTGAATTCGTGATAAAAGGGGTTTTTAGGGGTGAGGTAAACCAAGGGCCTTTAAGTGTGAGAAAACAAAGTAAATGCACTTGTATTTTTTTACTTTACTGAGAGTGTTGGCGAAAAGAAAGCTTGCACACCAATAAAACTAATAGGGCAACCCCATTGGTTTATAAAGAAAGTCTATAGACCAATTAAACTGTTAGAATAAAACCTTTCAACATTAGGCGACGTATTGGTAAATAAAGGGAGCTACTCTCGTCGATTGTTTCTGGTCATGCCATATTAGGTTCAACCACTATGTCAATTATTAGACGATTATTTGTCAGCGTAGGACCGGTTTAAGAGATAGCTGGCGCCGCTTTGACCTCTTGTCGTTTGATATTTCCCTATATTGGTCCACGTGCCTCTCTGAATAAGTATATTTTGAAACAGGAAACCTCTCCGATGGTATGCATGCCACTCTATTAATATATTTGTATAAGTGAACGCTTATGCCTATGAATACCATCCCGGACACTTATTTGCTCTATCGTACACCTAACGGTATTACGTCTTGTTATCTCCAAGGGCTTCTTTCATGGTGTTAACCCTTCTCAACACTCACGTTTGCTCATCGTCTTTATTCTTTTAAGGGACTTTAACGACCAGCAAACTCTTGAGGACAATATAGGGGAAAACAATTCAGAACCCAGGGAATCACTGTCCTCGATAACAGACTCGCCTGCGCTCACAACGCAGGACAGGGATGACAATAATTCAGACGAGTCAGCACTCCAACCCAATGAGGCAAAAAGCCAAGTATCTGAAATAAACCGGTACTCTGGTAGGCGCCGGCATCATATTTCTGTTAACCCGATTACTGAGGATGAAAGTGATCCTGACACCAGATCTCAGAGTTCGCGCAATAAGTCGCCAATAGCAAAACTGAGAGGCAGACCGTCAGCCAAGAGGCCACGTGTCGACACGAGCCCCGAGACTCAAGTCTCATCCGATTCCTCCAATCTCGGACGCGCCACTGAATGCAACAGAAGCGATAGCACCTCGGATCTCCTCCAAGAAAGTCCTAGGGTTGCGGCCTCTTCGACTTGTTCTGATGCAAAGAATCCTTCTGCGCAGCCTTGGAGGCGTTCGTTACGACGTTCTTCGATTACAAATCTCCTCGGCCCCTCCAGACTCAGATCCGGCACGGTCGAACCAGTAACAGTCTCGACTGTAGTAAACCGAAGTACTGCATCGGCGCCCCGCAGGGGGCTGCCTACCGCACGTCGCAATGTCACCACTCCCGTTGGTCAGAGGCTTCTGCGGTCCGGCTTGACACGCCCACCCTCGTCGTCGTCGAAACAACCTAAAAGTTGCATATCCATACTGGAAGGGGTTGAGACTACAAAGGCACCGCTTGGACACGCGTCTCCCA